AAAATAAAACAGATTTTGCTCGATTTTTTTCTGTTGATACAAGATATTAGATTATATTAATAGACTTTATAATACTGACAGACCAACAGAGTTTAATGCAAATGTAATTTTAGTTAATTTGTTGTAGAATTCTGGCATACTACTAACATTTTGTTTATTACTTACATTCTTTGCATTAAAGTGAGATATCGGATTAAAACTTCAGAAGAAAAAGAGAGGAGATAAAAATACCAGGAGTATAATTATAAAAACAAAATTTGTTATAATGTGTAAAGTATTGTATAATTATATTGCGAAGTATTAATCATTTTTATTTATTTTGAAAGATATATTTTCTGTTGTAACAATTAAAATAATCGTGTTAGTGCCCCAATAATTATAAAATACTCAGTTATTATTACAGTAACTACAATGACTATACTATATTTTTTATATTTTGTAGAGAATGTATAGATATCATATCTTAGCATTGATTTCCATATTGTTGTGAGATGCAATATGTCGATTAATTCCAATTTTTATTAAGTGGTTTTTTTTCACAAAGCACTTGCTTTTTAATCTGATTTTGTATGTCAGATTATGAATTTTTATTATCATGCAAAGATTTAATAATTGCCTAATTAGTGAACTCATTTTTTATATAATCGTCTCTTTAATTTGATTTTTATTATACATATGTGATTTTGTTATATTCAGTTGCATTTTACATACATTTAATTAAATTAATTAGAGTTACATAATTTTAAAGAAAATGACTCCAACTATTTATTAATGATATTTTAGCAACAATTTTAAGCATCAAAGTTTTGACTTTCGGGATAATTTTTCAATGAGATTGTAAATTAGTTATTAATGTTGCATTTTTTAAATATAGCATTAAATTTTTTAAAATCTGGATAAAAAAATTAAAAAAAGAAATTTTTAATGTTTTTATTATTATATGTTTTAATTTTTTTTTAATGTGTTGAAATAAACTCTTTTAAAAGAACTAAAAAAATTTCTTTTCAGCATTGTTTTATAAAGTAGTCTAATGATTAAAATTAAATGTTTGTTACTTTATAATATTGCTTTTTGAAAATAAATTTTTTTTAAGATATTTATTAAGATAAAATTATCTGAGATAAGTCAATATTCTCTAATATTAATATATTCTTTCTTTTGTATAAGTTCTTGAATATTTTTTGCATAAATTCTTTTACTTTTCCATATGTAAAATTTTTCTGTAATTTGATATAGAAATTTTCATAAAAATAACATTGACGCTTTAAATTTCGAAAGATTATTTCGAAAATACTCTGTAAAATAATTTTATATAAAAACTAGAAAAGAAGTTCAGATACCTCATAATTTTATTCTATTAATATACTTATTAATATACTTATTAATATAATTATTTTTGTTTTATTCATAGAATGCTGTCAGGACAGTTTGTTCGTAATATATATATTCAGTCGCATGTAACACGATATTTTACTCATAGCAGTATTTTAAGAGAAATTAAAGTAGATAAAATTCCTGCACAAAAAAGCAATGAATCTATAAAGGATAATGTTTTGGGTAAGGATAAGATAAATATTTTCTATATATAAATTAATGCTTAATAATAGAAACGATTAATCTTGTTTGTAGTTAAATTTATTATTAGTAATTAAATTGCAAATTCCCTTAATTTGCAATTTAATTCTGAAAAAGAGGTCCAATATACAAAATAAAAATGTCAAAAATATATAAAAATGTAATTTCTTGTACACATTTTATAGGTCCACTCAAACATCTGACAACTAATTTTGACAAGATAGTACTTGTTTGGGTAAAACGATATCCAAGCATTGCAGATGTTCCTAAGTTTGTTACGTATGTTGCATCTATTTTTATATTATATGAAATCATTTAACAAAATAGAAATTTAATACAAAAACATAAATTTCAATATATTTGAAATTGATTTGTCTTTAGTGGAAAATTTTAACAATGACAATCACAAAATTGTAAGAAATATAATTCATATTACAATATTTTTGAAGTAAATTTTAGATTTAAGAAATATATTTATAACATTTTTCATATGTAATAAGCTTTTTTGTGATTAATTTATTTTATATCATTTAATAAATAAATGTTTTCTTAAATAGAATTGACTGTATGCACAATGCGAGAACTAAAGCACGAATCAAGACATGTAATTATATGATGATTTTTGGCACAATCTGTTGCCTAAGCGCTGTATTCCTTGGAAAAGAACAAGCTAAAAAAGGAGAAACTTTGTTTAAACAAAGAGAAAAGTGGCTCGAAGAATACAACGCAGAAGATAAAAAGAAATAGATTATAAATATTAGGAAAATGTAGAAATCTTTAGAATTTAATCTTTAGAACAAATTTTCTGGAAAGCACAGATGGATATTATAAATTTCGATTAGTTATTATTTAAAAATGAGATTTCCACATGATATTTTTTAACAATAATAAAGATATTATATAATAAATATTTAATTTTGATCGTTCCAATTTGTATTTGTCATATATAAGGCTGTTTTTTCAAATCTTCGTAATAACAAAGCAGTAAAATACATTCTGTACAAATATCTATTGTAAAATTATGTATTTTATTTACATTTAGATCATGTATGTCGATATATGTATGTTATGAAATCCAATTCTCATTAAATTTAGTAAGCATTCTGATTGCTGTAATATTTAAATATATAATCTCTGTAATCTGTGTAATTATCCTTGTACATAATGAACAATTACAATAAATTCTTATAAGAGAATCAATATATATTGTACATCATCATAAAATAACAATGATTCAAGAGACAAACTTGTCAGTGACGTTT